TGGGATATTATAGATAAAAGGATTCAAAACTTTTAAAGAATAAGTAATTCTGAGGTGGTGGAGTGCTTGTTCTCAATTAGGGATTACTGACCTATTTAAAATCCAAGTACGGAAACTCAACGTTTCTCTCAAGAAGAAATGATCTTTTTTGTTCCAGTAGAATGAGAATTTAATGTAAATTAAACCTAAACAATCAATAATAATCTCTGACCCATCTTTTTTGCATAAGAATGATCTGTCATGACCCTAGACTATATTTTCATTTAGCTTAAACTTTCTTTACCTGTAGAACGAATCATTTAGATAAAATCAAATAGCCCATTCTCTCATTTGTTTCTAAAACAAATGAAAACCATGACATTTTTATTAGATATCAGGTTTTTACTAAGATACTATATCACCAAAGAAAATAAAATTTCTATAGAACTCTCTGAAACTCTAAAAAGACTTTCGTTTCCAGCACTAGAGAAGAAGATGTCTAACAATCACTCCATAAGAGATGCAGACTCTTATATCACCATTTCTACAATACATAAAGGACATTTTTTATCCTTTAGATTTGCTTCCCTGGAGTCCCCCAGTATCCGGGGCAGGAGCAGAAGCAAGAAGCTTCCAGCTGGCTCCAGAGCTTCCTCGGCTCTCCGCTTTTGCCTGGCAGGCTGAACCATGTTCCTTAGTCCCTCTACTACCACCACCTTCTAAGAAACCACAGGACTTCTCTGGTTTTAAAGCTTTAAAGCCTGGGTGCAGTTGATTCGGAACTTCAGTAGGGTACTCTAGTCCTTGGGAACAGCGGGGAATAGTTCAGATATTGTTCCCCGCAGCTCCATATGCTGGAACAGACTCTCTCTGCTCACCACCTCTGTCTAAATACAAACCATTCTGCAGATCCAAGCAGGCTGCATTTAAGGATATGGGCCAGAAATATCCAACAGTCTAAAACTGCTTTCCAGTAGGGTAGCCACTAGTCTGTATGTGGCTATTTACATTTAAATAAATTGAAATTAAATGAAATTTTAAAATTCAGTTCCTCAGCTCCACTAGTCACAGTTCAAGTTTCAATAGCCATTTGTGGCTAGTAGCCTACATACTGGACAGAGCGGATACAGAACATTTTCATTATCGCAGACAATCTACTGGAAGCAGTGGTTGAAAATAAATTTTATGTGTGTTTTGTTTTTATCTAAAAGAGTAAACACCTAAATCTAGAGGCTAATTATATGATGGCAGCAGGTTTCTGGTGAAAAAAGAAATAGTTAGCTTGGACCCAAGTTGAAGTTTAAAATTAAAGGTGGGTCTAGAAAAGCAGATAAATATTTTACTTATCTGCAAAACTAATTCTTCAATTATTAAAAATGATAATACAGAAAAATCAAGTTATTATTCATACTATCTGCTGAAAATTCATAATGTGCAAAACCATATACAACAGAATAAAGTAAAAACAAAGACACAACCTTTACTCTTTGTAAAGTAACATTCCTAAGGAGACAGGACACACGGACAGACAGAGGTTATTCCTCTTGTGAGCATGTTTTTTCAGAGTATGAAGTGGGGGATGCCAGGATTTCAGCCTCTGCCTGATGAATGATACTGAGGCCAGGAGAAATGACAGCCAAGGCACTGAGGTTTATTAAATCTCATTTCTGCAAAATACATGAGGTTATGAGGTCTTATACAAGGCAGATACCTGAGCTTGTACTGTGGCTCAAAAGGATTTAAAAATTACCTCTAATAACAGCAAACACCAAAATCACATTGGTTAGAAAATTAACATGAGTC